GGAGTTCCGACACATGCTGGATCGTTTCGTACTTATCTACCTCGACGACATTCTGGTCTACAGCCGGAGTCTGGACGAGCATGTGGAACACCTGCGCACCGTTTTGGAGCGGCTACGACTGGCCAAGTACAAAGCAAACCACGACAAGTGTGAGTTCGCACAACAGGAGCTGGAGTACTTGGGACACTATGTGACGCCGCAAGGCATCCGTCCGCTTGAGGACAAGATCGAGGCCCTACGAGTATGGCCCGAGCCCACCAACACCACGGACGTTCGTTCATTCATGGGGTTGGCGGGCTACTATCAGCGATTCATCACCGGATACTCCAGGATTGCTGCACCTATGACGAGGTTACAGTCGCCAAAGGTGCCATTCGTATTCGATGACGACGCACGCCGGTCATTCCAAGCACTTAAGACAGCTATGCTCATGGCACCCGTCCTTAGCATCTATAACCCCACCCTGCCGACGCAAGTGACTACGGACGCTTCCGGCTATGGCATTGGGGCAGTCTTGGAACAGCAGGACGGCGACGAGTGGCACCCTGTGGAGTATTTCAACCACAAAGTGCCTCCCATCAACTCGCTTGATGATGCAAGGAAGAAGGAGCTGCTCGCATTCATGATGGCTCTCAAGCGCTGGCGGCACTTCCTCCTTGGGCGTCGTAGGTTCACATGGGTCACAGACAACAATCCATTTACCTACTACAAGACGCAGGACACGGTGAGCAGCACGATCGGACGATGGATGTACTTCATCGACCAATTTGACTTCACACCGAAACATGTCCCCGGCCTCTCCAATCGCGCAGCAGATGCACTCTCGCGAAGACCTGATCTTTGCGATATGACACATCATGCCTTCGCATTCGACGAGGAGCTTCAGCGACACTTCATCCGGGCATATCAGTCTGATCCGGACTTCGGCACGCTCTATGCACARCTATCTTCGGATCACCCGCCGGCCAGCCATTACCGCATTGCCGACGGGTACCTGCTCCTCCACTCGAGAGGCAAGGACTTACTATGCGTCCCACGCGACCGTCGTCTTCGGACTCGCCTCCTCGGTGAGTATCATGATTCGCGACTCGCCGACCATTTCGGAGTCAACCGCACTATTGCACGGCTTCGACAGCGATTCCGATGGCCTGACCTCATTACCGATGCCACTCGGTATTGCGACTCATGCGAAGTTTGCCGACGCAGCAAACCCCACAACCGCAATCCCTATGGTGAGTTACACCCGATGCCTATCCCACGGGAACCCGGTCTCTCCATTGCCCTGGACGTCACCGGTCCGTTTCCTCGCGACCGGCTCGAGCACGACGGCATCCTCACGGTTGTGGACCGATTGAGTAAGTACGCGTGCTTTCTCCCTTGCAAGTACTACTCCACGACTCCCGAGTTGGCACGCCTCTTGCACACTGGTTGGATTTGTGGCCACGGTGTACCAGAAGACATTGTCAGCGACTGCGACACTTGTTTCATGTCGGCGTTTTGGACTGCTCTCATGCAGGAGTCCGGCACAACAATGAAACCAAGTTCGGCTCGGCATCCTCAGACAGACGGGCAGACGGAGCGGGCACATCAAACCGCTCAAATGATGCTTCGTACGCTCATCCGTCCGGACCAGAAAGATTGGGTTGACCCCCTCCCCGACATCGAGTTCGCCCACAACACTTCGGTGCACCCGGCGATCGGCGTGACTCCATTCGAGTTGCACCACGGTGGACGGAAAGGCCGTATCTTTGCCGACCTTCTCCTCCCTCGACCAGCCGACATTGACGCTGCCTGCTCTCCCGCTTCCGTTTGGAAGTACAGGGAATTGTTGGCTCAAGCCCGCGCAAATATGCAAAAGGCTCAAGTCTGCATGCAGCAGCAAGCCAACAGGCGTCGCGTACCATGTCCCATCCGCGCCGGTGATCTGGTTTGGGTCTCCGCGGAAGAGTTTGCACTGGAACAGGATGTTTCACGCAAACTGCTTCCCAAGTGGTTTGGACCTTGGTCTGTGACAGCAGCCGCGGGCGATGAGCCCGATGGCCCTTCATTTGTCATCAACATTCCAGAGCATCTGACGGTCCATCTGGTCTTCCACGCCTCGAAGCTGGCAACATACACGCCAACCAAGAGCGACGACTTTCCGGGCCGACGATCGCAGGACCCTCCTTCTATGGATGGTCATCAGGAAGTTGACCGCGTCATCTCCGATCGCAAGTACGGCAGCAAGCCGCGGCAGTACAAAGTCACATTCAAAGCATGCGATCGCGACGACACTCGGTGGATTTCATGCGCAGATTTGAAAGCATCCGCACCGCTGATCTATGCGCATTATGAAAAGCGGAGGTTAACTCAGGAAGCTTCACGACCAGCCCCTCCCACCCGGACTGTGGTCCCTCCCTCAGACAGACAGCTTCGCCCTCGCAGGTAAGCTCGATTCTTAAGGAGGGGGGTGTGTGGCATACTGCGTAGCCACACGGGCCCTGCAGGGCCCGTCCCGGACATTCAGCCTAAAAGCCTAAAACTAAGGGCTTACAGGCCCCGGTCTTTTCAGCCTGAAAGCTGAAAAACGAGGGCCTGCAGGCCCTACTCCGTTTCAGCCTATTTCTGGGTCTTTCAGACCCACAGTTTTTCCAGCCTGAAACGGAGGGCCATTTTCAGGCCCTCTTTGTTTCGACCTGCCCCTAAGACTCAGGCACGTAAACAGGGATGCGGAACAGGCCAGAAATAGCCTGTTCCTCACGAGCTCGAGCAGGAGCTGTAGCTGCAGCCCCTGCCTCCCTTCGGCATTGGCAAGTGCAGCCTCCTGGACTGCTCGCACGAGTCGTGGTAGTACATAGGACCTTCCCAAGCACTTCACGGGTAGGTAGTCAGTCAGTAGTCAGGGTAGTCTTCAGGATAGCGGAGCAGCACTCAGGAGGAGCGCTGCTCGAGGGCAGCTTAGCGCTAGTGTAGTCTTCGGCGCTGGGCGCCATAGCTGTAGTCCTCAGCGCTGGGCGCTGTAGTAGTAGTGATACAGGAGAGAGATACTGGCGGAGGCCAGTGGTACGTACCTGTGGCGCCATCGCTCCAGCTCCATCTTCGTGATACCTGCATCAAGGCGCCAACTTCACAGGTTAGTACTGGACTGAGAGAGAGAGAGAGAGTTCTTCTTCTTCCTCTTCTAAGTCCACCACCTCTTCTCCCCCTCTCGCTGCCTACTTCTCAGTATCTGTGGACTACGAGAGAGAGAGATATGACTTGAGACTTGACGACATTGGATACATACTCAACATTTGGGATTCAGACATTTTGACGAGGGACTATTTGGGCCTGTGCCAAAGACTTGGTGTTTACGACATTCCCATCTTTCCCTCCTCTTCGTCCTCATCTTCGTCTGCGTATGTGTGGGGCTGGCGCAGTCTTCCTGTGTGAAGCGCCAGACCCCTTCACACCTTGGGATGATGATGAGGATGTATGTTCTGGACTGCATTGCAACATTGATTGATCGGATCATTGGTGTCAAAGTCTTCCGTTTGCGCCATCTTGTACTTTGCATTGAGAGGTCGGTTCTTGTTCCGCCTGCACCTTTACGGTATGCAACAGGTGGTAGATTCATAGTCAAGGGGTAAGACCCCTAAAAAGCATGGTCCTCAAATGGTTTCTGAATCAGAGTCCTGCGGGTCATGATGACAGCTGATGTGAAACCAGCATTGCAGGCAATGGCCGTGATGAACCTGGCAATGCTGGCATGTAATAAATTTTCCCACTGAAAAGAGAAAAAGCCCTCAGGCACAAGGCGGCAGTATGATCCCTGGATCAAAGGGTGCATCTCTTGAAAGAGAAATCCCACTCTCTTTATTTGATATCCGAGAAAATGCATGGGTCATCCTGAGGATAGCATGGGAGGCGCTGATGCTTCAAGTGCTCATCCAGCCAAAAATGGAGGGCGGTTTTTCCGTTATAAAATGGGAGAGTCAGGAGACTCAATTTAAACCACCAGTGCTTGCGAGCCCCTTTTACCCGGTGCTGATTTCTGCTGTATGTTGATAAGGAAACAAACTAGTGCTGAAGGTCATGGCGTGCAGAGCAAAAACAACTGGGAAACATGTTGGCACTTCAGATTAAACAGATTAGTAGGTTCGTGCTGCAAGACAATGTCATATGGGTCCCACTGGAATTTAACCATATCTGGTCCTTGCCCCAATAACGTTCCCCCACCATTGTGGCGGTGACTAGGACCTAGACAGTCCTCAGATGCACCAGGAATAACTGGAAAGTCAGGGACACAGGATGGTTCAGACAGGTGGTTAGAGAAGACCTCAACGAAGACAGCTTTTGGACAGCTGAGCAGGTGCAACTCTCCATCGATAGAATGGAGCCATCTAGCAGTGCTGGGCCGCAATCCTGGGGGTGCTCTTACCACTCGCAGGATGGAAGTATGGCCCAGTGGAACTTCTCAAGGGGAAAACAGGTTGGACAGAGCTCATGTCAATCTGGAGGCAACTTCGGCCTCCCTCTCAAATTCTCAATCTACCAAGGTGGGAAGAGAGAGTGGCACAATTGCTGTCTGGCAGTAACCCCATAAAAGATCTGAATGGAGTGATGCAGCTGATGCTTGAATTGTGGGCATGTAGGGTTGGGTGGGTTAAAAATATGGACGACAAGGCCAAAGGCTGGAAGACAATTCGTCAGGTGAGGGCCTGCATTAGGTCATGTCACAGGTCAAAAGGAGATCTTGGCATCTGATCTCTCAGATCCCTTAGGCTTGGTTCAGAACCCTCACGACCTTATCTTATGTCACAGGTCAAAAGGAGATGTTGGCATCTGATCTCTCAGATCCCTTAGGCTTGGTTCAGAACCCTCACAACCTTATCTGGGAAAAGTGCGACTGGGTACACTTTCCAGACAAAAGTGATAGAGATGCAAAAGCGGAAAGGGTAGATGGAGGTGTGGTAGTCTACAAAGCCTAGCCTACACTTTAGAGAGAAGGTTAACAACAATCGTATTTTTCATCACCACTTTAAGACACCCTTCACCACTTCAGGATGCACCCTGCCTAAACAACTGGTTTTCAAGGTCTTCAGACCTTTCACCACTTCAGAACACCCTTTACCACTTCAGGATGCAACCTGCCTAAACAAGTGGTTTTCAGGGTCTTCGGACTTTCACCACTTTAGGACACCCTTCACCACTTCAGGAAGCAGCCTGCCTAAGCAGGTGGTTTTCAGGGTCTTTGGACCTTTCACCACTTCAGAACCATTCAGGATTTTCAGACTGCCCAAAACTCTCACTTCACTACTTCAGGATGCAACCTGCCTAGGAATGTGAATCAGCATTATCTCGACTGGGGGCGCGCGTTAGCGCTGAGCGGCGGGGGGCGGGCAGCGAGGCGATGGTGGCGTGCGGACAGCGCTATGCTGAACGCTGGTGGGGGAGGTGCTGGCTGGTTGGGGGAGGCGGGGCGTTGGCGCCTCATGGCTGCAGGGCGCTGGCTTTTTGCGACCAGCGCGGCGCTGGCTGCAATGGAGCAACGAGGCGCTGACTGTTAGTGGGAAGTGAAGCGCTGGCAGCATGTGAGGGACGGGGCGCTGGCCACTTACAGCTGGCGCAACACTGGCTCGGCAAGTGTATAGAGATAGTATCTGACAAGTGGCATACCGCAAGTTGTCGGCTCGAGAGAGGCGCTGGTGCGCAGGCTCTGTGGTAAGGTGGATTGGAGAGAGGACAAAGCTTTACACACGTGCGGAATCCGGAGGCGCTTGGCCAGTGCTACGTCAAAGGTTGACGAGGCATCTGGCCTGAGGCACAGAGAAGAAAGGAGAACAGTGGCGGTGGCTGCTATTTTAACATTTTCCTGGTGTCTTCTACATTAAGTACTCCATAGCTGATACCCTTAAGAGGCTGGAGAGCTCTTGCGAGTTGGCGAATGCTGACGTCGGTGGACAAAAGTGGAGTCAGCCCCACGGAGACCGAAGTGTGGAGATCGCTTGCCTTATTTAAAAGCTTCAACACAGATTGGAGGATATCGTCAAGCTGGAGGATCATCATCAAATTTATCTGTGTTTTTGTTTATTCTTGTTTATATTTCATGCAGGTTTTTCATCAAGAACACCAGGAGATTCAAGATTGTCAGTTGTGGAGTACCATTATGTCATCTTCATGTGCATCATCTTTAGTAAACTTTCCACATTTATCTTCTGCGACATATATTCACGTTCATCTTCTGTGACACATATTTTGTTCGTCATTCGCGTCGCCCGCATCCTTTTTGAGGGTAATCATCATCACCATTTCACATCCTCATCTTCTTCATGACCATCATTCAGACTTCTTCGTCAAAATCGTATTCCTTGCCATCATCTATTTTAGTTACAGCAATAGTGTGCTGACAATCTTCCTCACCGGTGCCATTAGGGTATCGCAAGTCAAACGTTCCTTAATTATATCTTGCCAATTTTTCATCATCATCATCATCATCATCATCATCATCTTCTACCAATCTGAATCTTTATCATAATTATCATCATCATCATGGTCTCTTTATTCATTTTTTCTTCAATCAGTAGTTGTCTCTGAGTTGGTGGTTATATTGTCCTCGCCAGATTGATTATGGTCTAGTTGGCAGGTAGGTCGGTCAGGAAGGGAGCGCTACTCCGCAGGGCTAACACAAGGTGGGAGGTGATTGCCCTCTAGGGAGTAGACGCAGATGATGGGAGCTGACCTGGGCTGGGGCTGGGAGATATGTATGGGGGCGCATTATCTCCTGGTGGAGGCAGACTAGGTCAGAGTGTTAGATTTGGGGTATACCTTTTGGGGGAACTGGTTACTTCAAGGCAGAAGGGAATGGGGAGATGATCTCTCTCGTTGGGGCTGATAGGAACTTCATACTGACGGGGTTTCAGATCAGCGGAGGCAGCGAGAGGAGAACAGGAGAACAAGAAACGAGAGGAGAGGAGAGTACATGGAGGAAGGGGAGGAGTGGAGAGGAATATCCATCAGCATCCTCATCATTAACCATCTCTTGAGTGATCATCTCAAGGTACTCATCCAATTTCATCTAATTTCATCATCAAAAAGGTTTGTTATCAGGATTCTGATATTATTAGGTCCTCGATTTCTAGTTGACATTCTAAGCTTAGCTAATTTCATAATTGAGCCTTTTTTGTGTTATGGCCAGGTTGAGTTGGCGCCAGAACGACGCTGGTCGGCGCTGGGGCGGTGCCCTGTAACCTGCTTGAGTAGGAGTTTGAGGCTTTGTTTAGAGATCTGGGATTGCCGAGGGAGGAAGGCGATCTGCAAACTTGACTAATGGCTACAATCTGGTCGACGATGGTCGGAGCTGGGGTGGGTAGTGCTGCCCTGTAACCGAGCCAGATTGGAGTGTGAGACCAGGAAGAGGCCTGATTGGTGCACAACATAGGCTCTGTTGTGTTTGGTTGGTTGGAATGGAAACAGGAAATTAGGGATAGGATAGTATTTGAGGGCTGAGTAGACAATCACTTTGATTAGTCATCATCTGTCTCTATTTCATGACCTCAATCATCCATCTATCATCCTGAATCATTAAAAAATCATTATCATCATCATCATCCTCATCAGATAAGTTAGCTGTTGAGGACTCAACTAAATCAAATCCTTTAGTTTTAGGCTACGTTGCGATTCGTACTCACCCCCGTACGAGTACAAGTTGTACTCATTTATTGTACGGTACTTGTACTCAAGGCCCGTACGACTTTTTTTAATTTTTTTTTTACTGTTTTTATTTTTTTCCTCCAATTCTAATAAGAATCTGCAGATGGTGCTCAGGCAAATGTTGCTTGTCTTGGGATTTTACATCACATATATTTTTTTCGGATTTTTTGGATGACGTGTTTTTTTTTTTTTTTTTTTTTTTTTTTTTTTTTTTTTTTTTNTTTTTTTTTTTTTTTTTTTTTTTTTTTTTTTTTTTTTTTCGTACGGGTCGTATGAGGGCGTACATGTTCCCGTACAGATATTATCTGTACGTTTTGTACGGAAAGGCCCTATACGTGTACGTTCGGTAACGTAGGTTTTAGGTATTATTATCAATTTTGCCGATTGTCTGATTGAGTTGTGAAAGTGCACTTGTCGAGGTCGAGTTGATGCCAGAACGACGCTGACCGGTGTTGGGGCATTGCCCTGTAACCTAAACTTCTAGGAGCTTGAGGTCTGGGATAGAGATCTGGGGATTGCTGAGGGACGAAGGCAGTCCACTAATTTGACCGACGGTAACAATTCTGCCGACGATGGTCGGAGCTGGGGCGGGTAGCGCTGCCCTGTAACTTAGCTAAACAGAGGGTGTGAGACTGGGTAGAGGTGGGATTGATACACAGTACAACAGCAGATGACAATTGCTGGAATTGGTGGAATACCTGGAATTAGGATTGGGTTTCATGTTGTAGTTCTGAGTAGAGAACATTCTGATTATCCGTCCTGATCACTTTTTTTAATGGCTAGCACTTAGAGTGTGACTGGTTAGATCATGATTCCCATTAGCAGAAAATCGTCAGCTTTATCATCATCATCATCATCATCATTATCATATGTTGGTTACTCCGGGTAGACTGTGAGGACCCTGGCCTCAATGTTCTCAAATATCAATACAAGCCTTGGGCACTGGGCCTTTTCGTCTTAAAAAAAAAAAAAAAAGGATGCAACCTGATTAAACAGGTGGTTTTCAGGGTCTTCAGACTTTTCACCGCTTCAGGACCATTCGGGATTTTCAGACTGCCCAAAACTCTCACTTCAGATTCCTGAATTTTCAGCTACCCTTTAACCGCTTGCGACACTTTATCTTCTCCAGCTGAAAGGTGGTTCAGACTGGAGAGACAGAGAGTTGAACAGCCATGACGAGGGTCAGCGAGTATACAGGACCGGTGATCTAGTATCAAGGAAGCGGAAGGCCACATATGAATCTAAGACTCCTATCCGGAACCTCCCGTTTGACCCCCTCGAATCTCAGTGGGAAATGGGCGGTGACAAGATTGTGCTGCTCTGGGAATACATGGCCAGGATGTGACACAAGCTGGAAAGGAAGAAATGGATGGCTCAAGTCGCGTGTGACAGACGATGGTCTGGCGAGAACTGATTAATTCAAGCGTGCATAGCTGTGGCCAGCCAAGTGCAGTACTCTGCAATGGCAAATAGTCCACTGTTGTCTGCTCACTAGGATTGACTGAATAACGGTACAGCAACACGGCAAGGCCATACTCTGGTGTAGAAGATGCCTGGGGAGGTCCTGCTCTGAAAATTGCAGGAAACAATTGAGCACTTGCTTGTAGGCTACAACATGACCGCCGAGGCCTGGAGATGGTGGGGCACACTCTGAAAGGAGATGAAAAAGAGGCCTGGCTTGAACAAGGAACTCGAAAACAACTCCCTTGGGGAAATGTCAATGCTCTGGGAAGGGAAAGACAGATCCAGATTACCCTTTAGTACCTTTATCCATTGCACATCAGGCCCGCCACAGCCAACAACTGTGGCAGAGAAAGTCAATGACCCTGTCTTCCTCAGTGTCTCTGTCTGTCTGTCTACCTGCCCCTCTCTCTCTCTCTCTCTCTCTCTCTCTCTCTCTCTCTCTCTCTCTCTCTCTCTCTCTCTCTCTCTCTCTCTCTCTCTCTCTCTCTGGTGTGTCACCTGACGCTCAGTCACACTGCACGACACTGCGGCAAAAAATTCCTTCGGCCATGTGCTGGCACCCGGTGGAATGAAGCGCTGTGCAACTGGTCACAACCAAACTCTGTGCTACAGGCACCATCCGATAGGCCACTACTGGATTTATTTCGGCCCTTGCAGCACCCCAGTTTCTGAATTTTAGCCTGCGGCCGCCCGGTTTCCTGGTTCCACGGGCATCTTTTCCTCTGGGCTCAGAAGGCCCCATTACCTTTTGCCCATAGACGGTTATGTGGGTGTTCTGGAGTGCAAGATGCATTTTCGAGCTGGTGGAAATGGAGGCAGGGATTCAGGAATTAGATAGGGTCTGCGCAAAAACACATGAAAAGAATGCAACAAGACACAGATAATGGCTCCTCGTCATCTCCTTGTCTTCTCCCTGGCCATGGCTGTTTTCTTTTTCACTCAGAGGTTCGTTCCTTGTCGGGGTAAAAGCTGCTGGTTTAATTGCCCTCCTTCGAGTCAGTAGGACCATCAGTGAATCTCCCTGCTGTTTCAACAGTAGAGCAATCAATTATGCATGGTTATTTTTCGCTTTTAAAGATGCAGGGAACAGTTCTCTTTGGGGATGCCAGACTGGGTGGAATTGTGCTGTCCCTGACCTAGAATCCTTTCTCCACAATAAAGCCTTGGTCACTCTGGCCCCTTTTTGTTCTCTTTCTTGGAGGGAATATTTGGGGACAAAATGAAGGATGCAGGGTAGTTGCTGTTGCATTAGCACAAAGAATTTGAAAACAGGGAGTGCTCTTTATATGGTTGCTCGCCTCTCCACTGTAACAGGGAATTTTTAGCATATATATATGGTTGTCCGTCTCTTCGCTGCTGTGACCTCGCTGGGCTTAAACTGTTAGGTTTATCACTTCAGGGTAAAAAAAAACAACAGCAGTGTTGCATACCCTGATGGTCGGCACCCTTGACTGGTTGGCTGCCGACCAGCCGACCGGTCGGATGGTCAGCACCTACCCGTTGGGGGTCATCGGCACCCCGTCAAAAAAAAAAAAAAAGGTTTTTTTTTAGGGGGYCCAGAACCGCCAATAACCCCACCAACACCCCCGTGCCCACCCTCAATACCCCCMYACAACCCCCCAACACCCCCAAACCGCCTCCCAGCACCCTCATACCCCCCCCAGTACCCCCTATACCATCCCTACACCCACCTATACTCCCCTATAACCCCCCTATAACCTCCCCCCCACATCCCCAAAAGTTTCTCTAGTGATTTGGGCTGAACTCAGCAAGTGCAATACAGCCCCCAACTCAGATTTGAAAAAAAATGGATGGCTGTTTTCTGACTGGTCGGCAGACCGCTGACCAGTCGGTCCTACTGGTCGACGGTCGGCAGGTATGCAACCCTGAACTGGTCGGCAGCAGCGGTCGGCAGGTATGCAACCCTGAGCAACAAGCTAAAAAACAACAGGCTCAACAAATAGTTTAGGCCCTTTAGGGACAGCAGCACCAGACGGCAGGGGTTTTAAGTCATTATGCCTGGATTCTTTGGGAAATTGTTTTTCTGGGCACATCACAAACGAAACTGGCTAATGCTGCCAAGATAACTCTGGGTTGAATTGTGAGGTCCCCGGCCTCAAATTTCAATCTATTAATGAAATGATTCGGCAAAAGAAAAAGAAAGCCAAAAAAGTTTTGGGAGAGTAGTGTCCTTGTTAAGTTGCAAGGTTGTTTTACACCCTTCATTGTAGATCTGGCTGTCAAATTTAGGCCCTGCAGCAAGGGTGGAAAATTGGAAATCGCTCTTTATATCCTCACATCCTGTGAATAGACCATTTTTGTGGTCAGTTCTTGAGCGATGATATGCCTGTTCTTTACATTGTGTTGACCGCCTGGAATGCCTGGCAAGGGTTTATATCCCCTTCTTTTTCTCGAAGTCAACAGGACTTAGATTTAAGACTAGGCATCCAGGTATGTACATTGTCTCCAGGTTGGGTTTGTGGTCGGTCGTAAGGCGTTAGAGTTTCAAGAAAAGGGGTCAAGCGTGTTCGTTCTGGTTGTCAGTCAATGTCAGATGATTTTGCCCTGCTGCGGTGTCAGTACGAGTTCCATTCGTATTTTGTGGATTTTAGAGAAATAAGTTCAAGTAACCTGTTCATCTTCCACCAATTGGCGACGATCTACGGAATTAGTACAAAATACTACAAATATAAGTATTGTTGATCTGAATTCCGCAACCTGCATGCTTCATCTCAGAGTGACAGGTCATTGACCTTTATGCCTTAGTCTTGCTCTCATCTGCGGCAATTGTCTCTGTGAATGGGCATGATTATGCTCTGGAGTTAGTAGAGTATCCATACGCCATCTATGCTTTCCAGATGCCTTCTTTTTGTTCATTCTTTTTGACATGGTGTCTACTGCCCAACCTTCTTGAAGTGTGTAAGGTTATGCTCAGGCACAACCAATAAGTCAAATGAAAGCAGACACAGAAAAATTGTACTTTGATGCTATGGTTTCAGTCGCTGTTATTGCCATTTTGTATTCATACTGCACAGTGTGATCACCTAATCAACGACTTGATGGTAAATATTAAATACAGACCTGAGTTTGAACTCCACCAAGCAGATGAATAAAATGCTGCAATTCTGAATTGCCTTGGGCCAGTCAGTCCGCTGGTGATATCTCAAGGCCATCGCCCTTTTTAGAAGAGAACAGAAGGAAAGGAAGGGACACCAAAAAACAAACGAAAAAAACACTGACCAGATGGCGATGGTTATCGGATGGCGGTGCTGATGTGCTGTATGTTGTTCTGTATATGGCTCAGCTGGCGCTGCCTTTGCTAGGAGGCTCCTTGGACCAGGATGGAAATCTGATAAAAGATACGTCACGTGCAGATGGAATGCAAGCACAGATTTCCCCTCGATCAAGACAGTCCATTCAGCAAACTGGTGCCTTTTATTCTGTGGTACCTTCAGGCACAACTTGGGCTATCCCAATGAGCCATGCTGGTATCTCTGAAGGAACTATGCAGGGGGCAGCTGTAGCAACATTGACACCGTCCATGAAAGGGCTACATGAACGAGCAGGCTTGTATCAAGGGATGGATGGCTTCCGCCTGGGAGTAGCTCCTGGTAGCATATGGCCAGAATTGGTACCTGTGTATTCGGGAGTCCCAGGGTTGGGAGCAAGGACAGTAGTGAACCAACCGCGAGACATTGAAGGTGCTATGGAGGCTGATAGGAAAGAAGGGTTGACTCAAGATTTGGGCATGAGCAAGAGGTAAAAATGAGCTAGAATCTCCTGTGCCTCCTGGAAACACTCCTGCCCTGTCCCCCTCTCCGCTGTGTTGCTCCACCTGCTCTCTCACTGAACACCTGCAAACACTCCTCCCCTGCCCCCCTCTCCACTGTGGTCCTCCACCTGCCCTCCGACTGAGCAGCACTATCATTACTGAAACACATTCTTCTGGCTTTGTTGTTGAGGTGTCACCCTGATTCACCTGCCTCCTCATGTCATGCTGCTATTTTTTTTGCCGGGAAGTGCGGGCACGTGTGTTTCCTATGATCGTAATTCAAACAAAAGAAAGGGGGAAAAGAAAGGAATCATACATTATACTTGAAAGCAAAGGACGATTTGCAGTATACCCCCCAAAGATGAGATATATCCTAGAATCCCCCTAAGAGACGTGGGTAGAGCGCAATGCCCTTTTGGCCCAAAACGTTTGTGATATGCCCCTGTCAAGGGGGCTTGGGAATTTGTGCTCTGGACTGCGCCCAATACAGCCAGGCCTGGACTTGTTTTTACGCGGTTTGGCCCCCTACCGGTTGGGCAACTTCGCGAAATGCCCAGGGCTTTTGGTGTGGTAACGTGGCGGAATGGGATATCTACTTTCAAACTATCACACCGCAAGATCACGAGAGAGAGAGAGAGAGAGAGAGAGAGAGAGAGAGAGAGAGAGAGAGAGAGAGAGAGAGAGAGAGAGAGAGAGAGAGAGAGAGAGA